TTTAGGATTTAAAATTAAATATTCCAATTTGAGGATAAACACTTTGAAACAGTGAAATAAAAATCATGTCATTCTATAGCAATAAAACTTAAACCAAAAATCTGGAATATAGAAATGTTATCTTTCTATAGGTTCAAGCATAAAACAAATATAATAATTTACCTATCATAGTACTTGTTATTTCCAACAAAAAACAGTTTATGGCTAATAATACAGTCTACAGAAACCAAAGTGACACTTTGGTCCAGATGAGCCCATTGGGGTTGAGGCAATTTATAAATAGACATGAATTCTTCTATGCTTAGTTCTTCTAAAATAAAACAGAATTTGGTTTAAAAAAAGTTTTGAACAATAAAGTCATTCATTCAACTTACTATTTTCCATAAAATTCTTTTCTATTTGTAGTGGCTTGGAAATACCAGCTGAAATACTGAGTTCTCTTAGATTATCTATGTGTTCAAAATTTATATCTGCATAGCCATTATTTAACAAAATCTCAGGTAAAATTTCCTTGAATTCATATTTTTTTAAATTTGAGTCCCAATATTTTTCATACAATTTTTGGATCCATATGGTAGTTCCAAGTGCCATTTTAACCTGAKAAAAATATAAGTTCAACACGTGAAAATCCCATGGTAATCAAGTACTAAATATCACACCTTTACAATAATTGTATTATTGCAAATAGTAACATCTTTCAAATGTTTTATAAGACGATGGTTTGCTTGAGCACACCATGTTTTATCAAAGCCAATTGGTTTTACAGATGCCAAAAACATATCCACAATAGTAGTATGTATACTTTTTAACATATCAGGTAACACAAACACTTTCCATTTCTAAACAAATTTCAGCAATTTTAACATAAAAAATGATGAGTTATTAATTTATGTTATAAATTATACCGATATAGTTTCAACATATCCTTCATCAATTAGTTTAACTTTCACTTTAGGGTTTGTTGTATTTTTGTCAACAACATTAATAACAAGAGCCCTGAAATATGCAGTATTGTTTATTTTCCTAGTACTAGAATCAATCTGTACAGCAACAATATCTCCAGGATTAGGTTTTTCATGAAGAACTCTAAAAAGAATTAAAATATATTAATATATTGTTTCATTTACAATAAATAAGATCATTAAAAATTTACTCAGAGTCCCTTTTTGAAAAGTGTGAATTGAGCTTATGATTAATGGTATCAGAATGGTCTATAACATTTGACCAATATTGCTCATCATTGAGAGTATTTGTACAATTCAGTTTCAAAAGTTTGGCAGACATGTGAGATGCATCATAGACATTTAAAATTTTTACAATAGCTAATCCAGATCTAAAAAAAAAATAATCAATAAATACCATAGTTATAGTACATTATTTAATTTGATTAATAATTAATAAATACTAAGGTTTAATGATAAATATAAACTTATTACAAGACTATTTAAAGTAATACAAATTAACCTAGGAATATTAACACCGGGATCATCAACTTGTTTGAATAAAATGTGACGACTCTGGCATGTCATAGGTTTAGAACAATAACCAAATTGTAGTATTTCACTGCATAATAAACAATTTTTCTTTTCTTTTTCTAAAGAGTCATTTATATTCTAAAAAATATTTAAAATTGAATTAATTATGATGGATTATTTATATCAAAAGTACATCACATCAAGATTTCTCCATCTCTTATATTTAGAACGTTAAAAAATCCTAAAAACAAATTTACAAATACCTGCCATAAACTATTTTATGAGTTAAAGAGTGTTATAAGATTACAGCAAATTTTRTTCGATGACTTAGAAAATTATGGTTATTAATATTTTTAATATGTCTGAATTATAAAAATTGATTTTCCAATTATTTGATAACTAGTTATTTCTATCACTATCGGCAGTATGCACAAAGTGAAGCCGCACAAGGGCCTTGTGATTTTTAAAGGTGTTTTATTATGGGGGAGAGGACTACTTTGATTTTATAAATTGCAAAGGTCTCGCAAATCATAGCGCCGACACTGATTTCTATGTCCTACATTTGATAGCACACTTTTATGTGATGTCCTCTTAATTGTTTACATCAATACTATTGTATTATATATAATTCAGATGCATTTTAAGTTATTAAAACCTTAGCATGTTTCAGCAAAATAGGATCCACTTCACCATTACCAAAATCTTTCATGACTTCAACCACTTTTGGCAACTGCAACATGTCTTTAATATTGTTACTTAAAAATATATAACTACTACGCCTTTTATTCTATAAACAAAACAAAAAATTAAAATGTAATTTTGGTAAAGAATATCAAGTAATTAGTACATATCAATTTAAGGATGGTTGAATTAAGATGACTCCACACCTACATGTGATGTCTCAATTGCAAGCACGTAACATAGCAAATTTTATGCTCAGCAGATAACGTTCAGCTCTGTTAGTTTAAAATTTAGAGTGGATTAACCTTTTATAAAAATTAATAGTAACATTATTTTTTAGGGTTTCTTAAAGGCTTTTTAATTTTAGAGTGAGTTATGAGTATTCTAAAATACAAACAATTTACAATTTAGAAATACTAATAATTCACTTTAAAATTAAAATATAATAAAAAGCCCACGAGATGCTTCAGATAATAATCTTGCCTTTAATATATATAAGAGATTAATTCACTCTAAATTTTAAACTAACGGAGCTAAACGTAATCTTCTGAGCGTAAAATCTATTATGTTACAGACTTGTAAGACGAAGACAACACATGCAGGTGTGATGTCTTCGTAATGTCCATCTATATAAACTTTTAAGTTTGTTAACCATTAAAATCAATAACATACCTAATATATTTAATTCAAGCGATAAAAAAATAATAATGAATATTTTAAATAAAAAATAGTTTACTTTAAGGGACTTACTATAAAAACATTGTTAGAATTATCTAAAACACTGAATCTTATTGAAAATTTATGTTTGTCAGTTGGAATATCATAATGTATTAGACAATCKGCATCAACAACATACAAATCAATCATCATATTATCACTACAAATTAATACACGTTGGTTTTTTTCTAATGGCTCATTCCATTGTTGCAATGTATATACTAAACATAAATAAAACAATCTATATAAAAGTAATTTGGAGTAACCTATAACCATTAAACTTTTATTATTATTAATAAATTTACCATTAGAAATTCTCATTTGATTTGGCACCAGAACCTCTATACTAGAATCGTGTTGCTGAATATAACTAGAAATTATGCCTAGTTCATCAGAATCTGATGTAACCAAAACACTTCGAAGGTACTTTGTATTATTTTTTAAAAATTCTGAAATTTTGAACAAAATAATAATCAACACATCATAATAATATTTATAAGAATTTTTTTTACCTAGTATTTTTTCTAGTTTATCATCTTTGACTTGTACAAGATTAAACCCTATTTTCATATAGCGAGCAGCTTCTAAGGGAGAGCCAAAAATATACTGCCATTTTACAAACAACTGGTTTAAAAATATATCTACATCTTTATTCCATTTGACTGATGTCGATATCAATTGTATACCGTATTTTTCTTCTTTTTTTTTAAGTTCTGTTAAAATTTGAAGAAAGTGAGGCATCTAAAAATTGTTTAAGTTAAATTCTGTTTTTTTTTTTTTTTTTTTTTTATAAAAACAATTTAATTACTTGATTTTTATAATTATCCAGTAGTAGATCTATATTATCAAAAACAAAATGTTTTAGATTTGAATAATTAAACATTTTTGTTTGGGTTAACAAATTATGGAGACCTGTTGGAGTAGCAATTAAAATATCACATCCATTACACAAAGCTGCCTACAAAAATAATAGATAATAATAAATGTAGATAAAATTAACAACTTTAATATTTATTATTCAATAATTTTCAACATTAGCACACTATACTCATAAATTGTTAGTAAAATTAGATTAAAAACTATACTCGTGCCAGCGAGAGAACGCTTCTCGTTCACGCATCCGATTTTGGAAGTGGTAATGGCGTCGGCCAGCATTTGGAAAGGTTTAGTGGTGGGAATGCGTTAGATCAGACGAATTTTGGTCGCCGCCCAGAAACGTTCTCTTGCCGGCATGAGTATATATGAGCAAAAACAAACCACTCAAACAACAATTATAGTTTAAAAATCTAATTTATAATTGATACAGAAAATAATAGAAATACTTGTGGTGTGCAAGTTATTTTCCATAACTTTGTAGGTTTAAATTTCAGTAATTTTCTACTAGCTCGAGTATGGTGTTTTCTTAAATGTTTAACTTACTATAGTGTGTTGCACTGAAATGGATTCATAAGCTATAGCAACATTATTCTTTTTTATAGTTGAGGAGAAAAGTTCATTCGATAAATATTCTAATCTAGAGCATGATGCTAAAGAACTACTTAGAATAATAGCTTTGGGCCCAATAACAAAACTTTTCTGTAAACAGGTAAAATAACTTTAAATGTTGACCTAAATTTAGAATAAAAACTAAATAATAATAGAGAATTATAAGTTTAACATATATATATTTTTAATACAAATGAATTCATAATATGTTATAACATACCATTTCATCATTACTATTGCTCAAAACTGAAGAACAAATACTTGCTAAGTAAGAAATAGATTTTCCTTTTGAAAAGCCAACCATTGCTGTATTATAGTGATTCATTAAATATAAAAATGAATTTTGTTGTATCGGTTTCATTTGTTTTATATTCATTTTATTAAAGGCCTAAAAATAAATAAAGTATTGATAAATTAGGTAATATGCAAAGCATTTGATATTATTAATGCTGTTATAATACTAAAAATAACCAAATTATACCTAGTAACTAAAATTAATTACCTTTTAATTTGATTCAAAATATAAAAATTGCAAAATTACATTTAATACAAGATTAAATAAACCTTATGAATAAAATTAAAACAAGGTATTATTAAGCTTAGYAAAATTGATAAATGTATTAACTACCTGTACAATCTCATGGTGTATATTTGATTGACCCCAATCACTAAGGTGAAGTTTTTCATAAGGTCCATATATCGGAGTTAAATTTCCATTATTTTTTGATCCATTTTTATCATAATATAGCAGACTACAATAATTATATAAGTATTAAAATATAATTTGAAATTACATCAGCTCAATTTCAGCCAGAAAAATGAAATTTAAAATTAAAAAATAATAACATAAATAACAGACTAATAAGCTATATTGTATATAATATTCATATATTAATGGATGTTAGTCTATTTGTAAGCTAATAACACAATTATTACTGGATAGCTTTCAATAAAAGTTATCTTAATAGATTCTTATAGAGACTTTTAGGGAGTTTATAGCTATTTATTTACCAACACCAATTATAGGTAGCTACCCTTCACTCATGCAAATTGAATATTAATTGTATATGATTATTTATAGCCTTATAAGGTTAATATCGTAGATACTTATCATATTACTATAAAGATTATTTGATAATATAATATATAAGTATAGATTTTTTTTTTTGGTTGTCATTGTTATAAAACAAATCATTTGCACTGTCAACACCAGGATACCATTGGTTAAAAATTATTAAAAAAATGTATCATTATAGTTTTTTTTTTTTAATTCTCTAAYGAGTTCTCTCATATTATGATTTTTGAATGTCATAAAATTAAACCATATTTGGACGCCTCATCTGTCAACAAACATTAAGTGCTCGAAATTATTTGGAATGCCACCTTAAAATTCAAACATTGAAAGATTATMTAGTTATGAGCTGTAAAAACTGTCAGTCAGGATTCTAGAAATCTGCTAAGACATCTTTATAGCAAAACATACGCCGGAAAACTGGTCAGATAAGAGCATCGACTTCAAGAACTACCAATAGCAACCATATCTATATAAGTATATAATTTATGATGTTGGTTGTTTGTACCTAATTGTAGCCTGTAGGTAGGTAAAGAACAGCTTATACCTACAGGAATTTTTCTCAGTTAATAAAAATACATAGAATAGGTATATTTTTTATTTTTTTTATAGGATAGCCATCAATTAAATATTAGTATTATACTACTATTAACTTATTAATTAATAGAAAGATGATATATCCATAAATTTTGTTTATAAAAAAAAAACAAATCTTTGACATGGACAACAAATACAATAAAAATAATAATAATAATAATAATAATAATAATAATAATAATACACAAATCCTATGATGTAGGTTGTACAATTTATTATTTATTCATTTAGGAAATATTTTAAATTCACCCAGATCGACTGCTGCACGCCAATTCCCAATTGCTAAGTGTGGAAACGGACACACAGGAAAGTGTTTTTTTTCCCATCCACCGCCACATTAGAAGTTATTGTACACTATAGTCTAATAATATTGCACTTACTCATTATATTTACAGAAGTTATTCTCGCCAGCCATTTCGATTGCGATGGTGAGTAAAAAGACCGTACAACGGATGAAAAGAAATTAAAAATAATTTTAACTGCAAAAAGTAATAATTACCGGCAACTGAACATTGAACGAAGAAAAATCGAAACCACTATAGGTATATTTGCAGTAACTATATAGGTAGTAGCCATAAACCAATTAATATCGTAGTCGTAGATAACTGAGGAAAACCCAAGAAAAAATACACATACTTTGTCATGGCACATGGGGCATTACGATTTATCAGTTATTACATATTTTGCTAAAAATTTAAAATCGAGTAGAGGTTTACAAACTGTTTAGCACGTGCGCATTGATCATAATTTATATCGCAGCTAAGATATCATATCATTCATATCACAATTAAAGGTATACAGATAATAATATATCTATGGGTAATGGGTATACAAGTCGAAACTGGTTATTCGTCGACATATTCTGATAAGGCAGCCATGGAATGCATAGACATATATATTATTATGTCTATGATGGAATGACTATAAAATTTAAAAAAATAAATAAACATTAGTGCTCCGAGTGGCAGTATCACAATTCATAATGAACCGATTTTAGATTTTCTATAGAAGTATAAAGTTAGTTCTAAAATAATTTGTAGACACCTATTGTTGAGTGTTGATATAAAACGCTAATGGTTATTGTTTACAGCTCTTTATTTATTTATCAATTGCTATTTATACGGAATCATAAATTACATTTTCAAAGTTTTTGATCTAACACATCAATGGTTATTAAATATTATTAGGTAATATTTGAAGAATAAAAAACTAAACAAATTCAAAATTTTGAAAGCCATGATAATGGGCATTACTTGTAGATCTATCATTAATAAAAGTAAAACCATATTGATTTTTATCCGAGAATTTATTTTATCTGGAAATATCATATAGGTTCGATTTTATACATTTTTCTAACAGTTTAACGATAAAGAGAGTGAGATAAGACGATAATTGTTATAATCCATTTTATTTTGAAAATTTTGAAAATTGGAGTATCTACACATTTTTTAAATAAATTAGGATATACACAATACACTAGATGCTAAGGCTAAGTTAAATATTAAGGATATATTATTTGATGTTTCTTCAAAATATTTTCATTAATTATTTAATCCATATTAAAAAAATGAAGAGTGTGGTTTAATCATAGAACAGTAGGACGTGCGTCTATGTTATACTGCTTAAATAGTTTCGATAAGTGCCATCTAAGATCTAATTTAGTTTTGTAGCTTATTTAGATTATTACCTGTATCGCTAATCTATATCGTTTTGTCTAATATGTCTTGCTTGCCGCTTGGTATGTGATACTTTGATTTCCCCAACCAAAAAGATTATTAATTGTAATAATTGCGATCAATTTTACTATTGAAAATGTATACCTTACGTCCTTACCATGATTCAATCTCTATAATAAAAATGTAAAGACGTGTGATGTATAATTTTCGATTTAGTTGAGGTAGATTATAAAAATCTTAGAATTTGAAATAAAAGAGATGTACGTACTAATAATATCGATGAAAATTATAGATGATACATCTATTTTTACTCTTAATATAAATAGTATTATATAATATTAATATATTAACTGAAACTTGGCTTTTAATTGATTTCAGTTATACATTAAATAGTCTTGTTTGAATAAACTCTATTGATATTTTTAATAAATGTGATGGAATTAAAATATTTTTCAAAAATTACATTTAATATGATATCATGTATAAACAATTACACAAAAGTATCTWTAGTAGCTCAAAATCTCGTCTTGATCATATTTTTTATAAATAATTTAAATAATTAAATTGAATCTTACATTATTAAATGTACCGTAACAGACCATTATGCAACAACACTAAATTTTTGTTATAATAAATCAGAGAAAAATATAAAAATTTAATTTAATTCATTAAAATTATAATTATAACATATATAACTTTGACTACCTAAATAGGTAGACCGATAACGGGAAATGCGGTACGGTACGGCGGCTCGAGGTTTTCTATCTACCTGGACTCTGACTTCTTTTTGTGTGTATATATTTATCAGCGTTTTGATAATATCAAATATCATATTATGATTTTTCAGAATCTATATATTTTATGAGTTGTATAGAAAACACCGAAAAGCTTAATTGCCTCAATTATTATACAAAATACGTTATCTAAAAATAATACATTTTTTATCGATATGTGAAATAGAATCATTTGTAAATATTATTTATTTATTTTTTGTTTTATTTATAATTTTGCTACTACTTCTATAAGCATTAATAAGTAAAATAATTTTTTTTTCTTTAAAACACAACAATGAGTGTTGATTTAACAATTTCATTTTGAGAAAGCAAAAACTACACAAGTGTGAACTCGGGTAATTCAGCAAGTAATATAATATAATCATATACCCATGGGCGGAGTGAAACCTGATTTCGGGTCTGGAAAACATATTTTTCCAGCCTATTGGCTCATCGGCTAACTATTTCAGGGGTTAACTATAGACTTGAAAAAAAAATCAAATCTAACTTATAAAATTAACAAATATGTTTTTTGTTTTAATATTTATAATAATAATAATATTATAATAATACAAATTTAATGTCATAATGAGTACTTTGTATAACTAAGCTATAAAGAATTTGTTTTCCATCAACATTAATGACTCCAAATGGCAAATGTTTGGTTGTAATTGAATTGCTCAAACTGTTTTTAAATATTTTTAAGTAGAAATGATCTTTTATAGGCCACTTGAGTACCGGCAAAGTAAATAATAAACACTGATATAAGCAATGGATAATGTAGGATAAACATTTTTTTTTTATATAACAATTTTTTTTTTATTTACAATCTGTTACATAAAATTGAACAATAAGTAAAATAGATAAGTGAATAAAGTGACTTGAAGAAAGGACAGATTTAAGAAGCCTTCCAGTGAAGACACTTTGTCAGCTTTAATATACATTTCTATAAGTTAACAATAAAGTAATATTTAATTAAAATTAGGCAATTAACTAAATTAGTAGGTCCCGACACCAACGCCTTTTTAGTATTTTCCTAGGATAAACATAAGAGTAAAAATTACACTTAATTAATGCATTGTAATATGTAACTATAAAATTCTATAGTTTTTACATGTYACACATRGTTTTGATATGTCTTTTWCCTCATCTTCATTTTCTGTGTACCTACTTATTATGTATTTATGTACCTATAGTTCTTCAGCACATTCATCATCTACAGATGTCTTTAAATGTTTCCAAGATTTTTAAAAACTTAACATTTTGTCAGATAGGTAGTTTA